ACAACATAACAACATGCCATCTTTGCCAACATGCCATTGGCCAAGAAATCACATGGCCCAGCCCAACACAGTGTGGTTGAGAAATCTATTCTGCTTCTAATGGAAAGGAAGGGGAGTGACTATTTGCAAATAATCCACCCATTCCAATGACTAAATCCCACCACAGCTTAAACACCATTTCACGCTGTCTTTTGTTTTTTTCCTAAGAAATTATTCATGAGCTTACTGAACCACAGTACAGTGCCTGCCTCTTATTGTTTGCATTCACACATTAACAACCAGGTCATGCCCATGGTTATAAATGATGGGTCAGTGTTTTCCTTAGTCAAGAGTAATGAGGGGCTTGGCCGTTTAAAACCTAGTTTGAGGAGCCATTTCTTTCCCTCTGGAGGTCTGTCTCTACCCAGGTGTTGGAACAATAGGCCCAGCCTTCACAATCCAGACAGACACTCAAGGACCTAACCAGAAGTCATTCTGGCATGGTGAGTGATGGTCCTAGGAGGCCCAAGAGCTGGGTGAGAGCTTACCTGGAGTTACTGAGCGAACGACCACTGGCTTTTCACTCCCTGCCACGAAACCAAATCCCAGCACAGGGTCCCTCCTCATCTCTATCTTCCGGGGAGCCGGAGGGATGATTTGGCAGCTTTCCAAGCGCGGGTCATCAAATGGGATGGCCTGTGTCATGTGGCTGTGGGAAAAAGATACACAGAAACGAGGCATGAATGCATGCATCAGGCATTGCTCTGGTGCTTTCATTCTCTGTAGTTTCTGAACCTCCTGTTGTCTGCCTGGTAGAAAGGGACAGATGTGGAGAAGGCCACAGTCACACTGTTTCTGTGGCCTCCTTGTTTGTGCCTTGAAAACTCTAGACCCACTTCAGTGTTACACTTTTGCAGTGGCTGTTCCCACTCCCTGGAATGCTTGTCTAGCAGCTATCTGTATGGATCACCTTCACCTCTCTCAAGGCTTTGCTCAAGTATGTCCTTCTTAATCAGAAGGACAGTCCTGATTACACAGTTTAAAATTGCAACCTGCTCCTCCACACTCCTGATCTCCTTTGCCCTCTTCTACTTTGTGGTAGTTACAGTTTTGTGTCAACTTGGCTGGGCTTGCTTTCGAGTGGCTGGGCAGCTGGTTGCAGTTATTCCCCAAGACGAGACTGGTAATTGTTTCCCTGGTGGAACCTACTGTAAGCAGCCTTAGGGATGTGGTCTGCTTCCAGTATAAGACAACGCTTTGTGACAAGTCTTGGGATTTTTGGCACATCTGAATCCTGCATTTGGTTGAGTCTTCATCTTAGTGGCCTGCCATGTTATCTACCAAACTTGAGACTGTTTCTGGAATTGAATTACTGGCCTGCTGTGTTGCTTGATACCTTGGAATTGTACCTTTCTACTTGTGACCTTGGATTTGTCAGCCTCTGCAGCCAGCAGCTGCCTGAGTTAAGAGAAACCTCTACTTCCAGTGGCCTGGAAGCAAGAGGCAGAGTTAAAGCCCAAAGTTGAAGGGCCTTTACCCAGCCCCTACAGCTAGTACTCTGGACTCAGACTTCTAACCTCCTAAACTGTAAGAGAATAAATCCATGTTTGTTAAAGCCATCCACTTGTGGTATTTTCTGTTAGAGCAGCACTAGAGCACCAAAACATACTTTTTTTGGGATAGCATTCTCAAAAACAAAACAAAACTCACTGCTGTCAAGTCGGATCCAACTCACAGTGGATCCAACTCCTTCGGTTTCTGAGGCTGTATCACTACGGAAGTAGATTGCCCAACCTTCCTTCCAAGGAGTGGCTGATGGGTTTGAACCACCAGCCTTCTGGTTAGCAGTCAAATGCCTTAAGCATTATGCTACCAGAGCTCCTTGGATAGCATTAATCACCTGTAAATCAGGCTTATTTTTAGGCTTAGTCTTACTATTTCTTTCTCCACATTAGAATGCAAGCTCTATGATGGCAAGGAATTTGTTTTGTTCACTGATTTATCCCAGGTGCCTAGAACAGCATCTGGCACATCAAAACAAAAACCAAACCCACTGCTGTTGAGTCAATTCTTACTTATAGTGATCCCCATTGGGTTTCTGAGGCAGTGTCTCTCTGGAAGTAGATTTCCCAGTCTTGTTTCCGTGGAGTGGCTGGTGGGTTTGAACCACCAACCTTCTGGTTAGCAGTCAGATACCTTAGGCACCACACCACCAGAGCTCCGTCTGGCACATAGGAGATCCTTAATAAATAATGAAGTTAATAAGGAGAGAAAAAAAGATATTTCTCTGGGAAAAACTATCAAATTATACCTGATCTGCTGAGAAAAACCCTCAGAGGGTTATGGAAGTTTAGGAAGTGACAACTATGGCTTCAGGTGCCAGTGAAATTTAAGTGATTCTGACCATTTTGACGGTGGCAAGTGACCCCACTGTCTAATACAGCCCCTTTTCCAAAGAAATTGAGAATTTCACGCTTGGCATTGATTTTCTAAGGAGTCCCTGGGTGGCTCCAAAGGTTAATGTGCTCCCTGCTAACTGAAAAGTTTGAGGCTCTAGCCCACCCAGACTTGGCTCAGAAGAAAGGTCTGCCAATCTACTGCCCAAAACTCAGGCATTGAAAGCCCTTTGGAGCACAGTTCCACGCCGACACACATGAGTTGGAATTGTCTCCATGGCAACTGGTTTTTGAGGGCGTACTTATTTTCTGGAAAAACTTTCAAATGCTTTCAGTGAATTTTTTCATTAACACCTAAACTACAGAAGGCTTATCACTAATTCAAACTTGTAATTTATATGTTATTCTTGTTAGGTGCCATCGAGTCAGTTTTGACTCATAGCAACCCCATGTACAACAGAACAAAACATTCTCAGGTCCTGTGCCATCGTCACTACCATTACTATGTCTGAGCCCATCCTTGCAGCCACTGTGTCAGTCCATCTCATTGCGGGTTTTCCCCTTTTCCATTGACCCTCTACTTTACCAAGCATGATTTCCTTCTGACGTGATATTCATGAAGGCATGGTGCCTTCTGACAACATGGCCAAAGTATGAGAGATGAAGTCTGACCATTCTCACTTCTAAGGAGCAGTCCAGCTGCGTTAAAAAAAATGTTCACTGTTGGAGATGGCTCAGGGGGCAGGAGTGCATGGGAGGGAAGGACAGAGGGAAGAGGTAACTATGGGGAGGAAGTGGGAAGAGAGCTGTTACATCTTGTGGGGAATTGTAGTCAAAGCCATGAGACAAAATGTATATGAACTGCTGTATGGAAAATGAATTTTCTCTGGAAACTTTCACCCAAATCACAACCAAAATTTAATAATAATAATAATAAAAGTTCACTGTTTCCACAATCTCCCTTAGACCATAACACAACTTCGAGAGTAAGAGAGTCAAGCAGGTATCATTATCGGCACTTTGCCACCACGGAAACTAAGTTCAAAATAGTGGCTGAGTGTCTTTCAGGGCTTGTGAGTGGTGGGCCAGCTCCTGGGACTATAATGAGGTCTTCTCCATGCACATTACCCCAGGCAGCCTTCTTTTGCGGAAGGCTTCTTAGTTGGAACACTAGAAATCTCCTTAAAGTCATGGAAGCCAAGATGATGTCAATGATAAGGGCTTACATTTTTTCCCCTCCCTAATCTTCAATAAGTCACAGGAGCTCATTTTAAAATACCTTGGAAGCTGCTACTCTGTCTGCCATCTGGACAACATATTGTTCAAATGTAATAAAGGAAGGTGTGGAGAGAGTCGTCCTGTTGTCCTTCAGTGTAATTAATACCAGTTAGGAAAATCAATGATAACCCTCTAGGATCCGTTCTTTAGGCACAGATCCCTGACTAGGGAAATAAAAGATTAAAATCCCATTTAAATGGCTTTTCGATTTAGCTCTGGAGTATTTCTTAGGAAAAAGAGATAAAGGGCTCTAATGTGTTGTGAGTCACGTGCTCACGCCCTCATCTGTTGAGATTATTTCATCCTCAAAACTCCTCTATGAGGAGGGGAGGAAACTGCCCCCTTGCCCAAATGCCAGGAGAGGAAAAAGAACTGGGCCAAGGTCACACTCTTCTCAGGTGTAAGCCAGGTGCGATTCACACCTGGTCTTCTGATTCCAAGTGCCATGCGCAGGACCTGCTATGCAATTCGCAGAGCCAAGCGTAAAAGGAAAATGAGGGCCGCTTGTTCAGACATTAAGAATTTTAAGATGGTGACTACAGAGCAGTCAACCTAGTGTGTGCCTTCTGGGCACCGGATCCTGGGCGGCTGCCACACGTGGGGTCACCATGAGTTGGGGTCAGCATGAGTTGGAGTCAACCCACTGGTAACTGTTAGCATCCATTACAAATAGAAGTTAGAGCATTGAAAACAGCTCTAGCTTGATTAACCTCTTTCCACTAAGTAATAAAGTAGCAGTATCTAATTTTTTAATCCATCCATTCATTCAATAACTACATTATTATTATTAATACCTAACATCTATTAAACACTAATTCTGTGTTTTGTTCTAAATGCTTTCCACAGATTATTTCATTTAATTCTCCAAAACAGACCCATAATGTATTAATTTATTCAACAAATGATTATTGAACGCCCACTGGGTTCTCAGTTCTGGGCAGAGAGGAGTGAA